AAAAGGAAAGTTTTAAGCCTAGCCTTAAAAGTAGACAGGGTGTCTGCCTCACGGACTAAAACTGGTAGTTGGTTCCACAGGAGAGGAGCCTGAGAACTAAAAGATCTGCCTCCCATTCTACCTTCCAAGGTATCTGCAGTAAAACTACCATCTTCTTGGTCCTCAGAATGTCCCAGCTGTCAGTTTGTCTTCAGCCTGTCAAAGGGAGGATGTCTTCACTTCACCTGCACCCAGTGTCGCCATCAGTTCTGTGGCGGCTGCAGACAGCGCTTTTCTCTGGGTTCTGTGAGTCCCTGTTCTGAAGCTTATGCTAAGATTAACTGTGACGACGCATTTTGTTACCTGCATTATTTTGCTGGTCCAGCACATAGTCTCAACTCTCTCAGGATTTGCGTAATTTTGCACCTTTTTCAAATGTCTCTTTCTGTGACCTCCTCAGGAATGCAGCTTCTCTGCTCAGTGTGGCTCCAAAGGTCTTCATGCCCACCACCCCAGGGACTGCCTGTACCACCTTAGAGACTGGAGCGTGAGCCGTCTGCACCAACTTCTGCAGGTCAGATGCTTGATGCCTGCAGTGGTCTAGGTCAGGTTGACTCTCTGCTGATGCTCTAATCTCTGTTAGTATCACAGAGTATCTCCTTCCTGGTGGAGACCATCCCATGGCAGCTTGACTCCATCCAGTATGACAGGTGATGTCATGCCTGTTATCAGTGTAGAGAACAGGAATACTGAGACATACTGGGACTCCAGCCCCAGCGTGTCTGACAGACATATTTGGTTTCCTGCAGCATGTCCGATGTTAGAGCTACGAGACAACAGCTTTGGGACTAAGGAAGAACCATGTGGACGACCGGCGCTGTCTGAGTTCGGAGGATACTGCCAGTAAGATCCCCTGTGGTCCAATCAGAGTCCACGTGATTCCCAGTCCTCGTACCTGTTCAGGTGAGCTGCTCTCTGTCCTAGCAGGGGTCACTATAAAGAGCGACTGGTGGAGCTGATCAACCATTGGCGTGTCGACCCAGCAGTCCTTTTCAGTCCTGCAGAGATGATTGCAGAACTACAGCGATGGAACATTGCCATGCCAACAAGGAAGCTTGAAGAGCCAGAGCCAGTTTATGCCCACCGCCTGCGGCTGGTTAGTGATATCATTATAACCACTGTTTACCTGGACCTAATTGAGCAGCTGCACACAGTTATAATAACAATCAGCTTTCAAAGATTCAGCACTTGTAGGAAACACACTCGTATCTTCCTGAAACCACACCTGAACCTTCCACGATCCACACCTGGACCATCCTGAAACCGCACCTGAACCCTCCATGATTCACACCTGGACCATCCTGAAACC